TATAATATCACAAGAAGTAGTAAGACTTGAAAAAATTCACACACAATATAATCCTTTAGATATGGGCATAAAAGTGCTGCCACTGGTAAAGTTTAGAAGTTGCAAGGAGCTTCTAAACATCGGTACAGGTAAATGATTTTCAATTTTATCGGTTTTCTGTTAGAGGTGTCACTAATGGAAAATATTTTCTCTTTGAAGGTCCTTTGACACCAAGGTGGAGGTTGTTAGACATCATGTTGTCAAATGATCTCTCGGGCGATGATGTAAACCAGTTTTATCAGTCGACATGAATGACTAAACGATAAATCAACACCGAATAATGGATGACCCGACTTAACGTTGTTTTACCTATTGGATGGCTAATAAACCTTTGTGGCTTGTTGGTGTGCTATTGGGCCATAACCCTAGTCGAGCCTACTTATCATATGTATAACTTACCTTATTATTTGTCATTGGTTTACTATATATATTAGCAACTCTCTTGCCTTCTAATTGTCCCGTTTTGAAAGAACCCGAGAGAGAGAGAGAGAGGCTACCTTCTTCTTCGTGCATCCTATTGATTGATCTTCTCTACCTCTTGCTTGTGTCTTTGTGACCCTTACCTGTGTGGTATTCATCCTTTGTGAGTGAGCAAACAACAAGCAAAAGGAAGCAAAGCAACCATAGGTAGAAAGGAGCGGCGGCGGTCAGGTACCTTCGGTTTTTTGGTGTTGATTCGGTGTTTAAAGGTTAACTGAGCCCGGAAATCATCTTGAGCAGCAAGAGGAAGATCTTAACAACAACAACACAAAGAGGCGTGTGTTTAAAATACCCACATGAATTTATTCGTTTGAATGTGATTCCAATACCTCCGATCATCTATACTCGTAATTATCATGGCCTTTGAAGAAATTGACAAACATGTGCTTCATGCTCTCTTATCAATACAAACTTTCTATTCCCAACAAAAGAAAAAAGAAGAATCAATTTCATAATCCGGGACCAGAAAGGGAAAAAATAAGAATTTGAACAAGCAAACCTTTGTGCTACCGTCAAAAGGGTTAGGTCTACAAAGCCTGGCATATATGTCATTTTTATCCATGGTAATCAGGCCTTGATCAGGTAGTTTGCTTGAAATAAAGTGTAGTTGGAGGGCAATTTGGGGACCTAGATGAAATCTGCGTAGGCGGCAGTCCAGAAAGCCCGTGTTGATCCGTGCTAGCTTCGTAATCTCCGTCGGGTCCAAGTAGGAGAGAACTAGGGCCATACATGATTCTGGTTATCCTCCAACTTGGGCCTCGTCGACCTATTAGGTTCCCCAGTCATAGCAGATGCATGAATTAATTGTTCCAATAGTTACTGCATTTAAGTTCATATTTTATATTGGTCGCTTAAGTTTAAAATATCAAGTAGTGGTCATTGAACTTAGGTCTATGTCTTCGATTGTAAAATGTCGAGTTTTGACCACTGAACTTTGAAAAATATTGTACGTTACTCACTAGCATAAATGTTGAACTTTGAAAAAATGTTGGGTTTACAGTGAGTAGTATACAATATTTTTTCTAAACTCAATGATTAAAACTCGATATTTTAAATTTCAGTGAGCAATCGAAGACATGAACCTAGATTCAATGACCAAAATTAGATATTTTTAAACTTCGGTGATTTATAAAAAACATGGACTTAAGTTCAGTGTCCATTAAAACAATTAACTCCAGATGCATTTACACACCTATTAATGAATTTAATGAAATTGCAGTTGAGAGAGTGAGAGAGAGTAGAGAGGAATTCCCAAATTCCTCTTTAATTCAAGAATTTGAGAAGAGGTGCAAGTTTTTAGAGTGGGAGGAACGGTAGTTTCTACATTTTCATTGTGTACAAATTATATGCAGTGCAGTGCGGTTCATAGGTTTTAAAATCGTGCGAGGTTAATATTGCAAGAGTTGACACGTGAAATGTAGCTTCATAGAGGTATTGGAGATAGATAAGAGAATGGTAGTGGAGGAGAATGACTCGTTTTATTGGGATCTAATATGGAGGCAGAAAGGCTCTTATCCAGTGCATTGAGACATTGCTGCACGTTCCTTGTTCTGTGTGTACACATGCGATCAGGTGAATTTCTTTTCGTTTGACTATAATTAAAACAAAATACTACTTTTTTCTTTCAAATTTATTCTTAACCACATATTCTGCAAAAAAATAGTAAATTTTTTTTTTAAAATGTGTGGTAAAAAATAGAAAAATTCAATTTACATGTAAAATATTTTATGAGAAGAATGTGTGATTGAAAATGAATTTGAAAAAAATCAGTTTTTTACATAATGAGATTCAAACATAAGCTTTAATATAAAATAACAATTGCAAACAAATTGACATAAAATTAAAGGTGTACTAAACTCTATAAATTTGGCCTTATGTGCAAAATATTTTATTGAAAAAAATGTGTGATTGAAAATGAATATTAAAAAATAAGTTTTTTAGATAATGAGCTTAATATAAAATAACAATTGCAAAGAAAATGACATAAAATTAAAGATATACCAAACTCTATAAATTTGGCCACATGAACCCTGAGATTATTGACACTAAAATACAATAATAATTTATTAGATTTAAGTTTATAGCTCAGCTTTAGTTTAACTAAAAATTTACGAGAATTCAACTTAATTTGACTTGATATGTATTTCAGTATGACTAACAGCACAGACAAGTAAATAAGGTTTTCGACGTTGGAAAGATACTGATAGCCCAAAGTCGGAACAGAAAAGGCGAAAGGATTTCTTTTCTTTTATTTTTGCCCCCCGAGGCACAGTCTAGTGGTGCAAACTTGCTGGCAACCACAGTGTGAGGGTTCAATTCCTGAAATATGGAATTGGACTCCTTGTAGGCGCAGTGTAAAGACAGCTCTTGTTCCCTGATCTGATAAGGCACATCTCATGATTTACCTCCCCACAAAGCTCTAGAAACGAAACGATGGGGACTCTCAAAATTGAGGTTCAACCTTTTTAAGAAAAGGCGGAAGGATAGGGCCATGTGGGAGCCTCGTTTTTGGCCCTGTCCAAAACCGTAAATATTCCTATCCATCCGTTTTTGACTTTTAGCTAAACCTTACCCATATTCATAGAATTTAATTTGTTACCATGGTTAGGGGGCCGCACTCTCCTTTTTTCTTCCACGTGGAAAAAACACCATTTAATTAACATCAAGACATCTCTTTTTTTCTCATAATTAGAGATTAAATAAAATGAAAAGCAACACATCAAAATTAAAAAAACACAGTAAAATAAGTAGGGTTATTGTTTTTAGCATAAGGTTAATGATGCTTAGTGTATATCTAGGCTAATGAGACACTTGTAAATGGAGCTGAGTTAGCAAAATCTCTGTATACCATTTCAAAAACTATCTTAGAGGGGAAATAGAAATTTCGCTAGTATAACGTAGTAACGCTTTAAAAAGTTTGCTTAAAACCTTTAACATCTTTGTAGAACATCATATTTTCACGTAATCGAAAAGCAATTCAATAGTCATAATTGATAAATGTGATTTATCACTTATTGAATCATTAAAAGTAGGCGTTTGTGATTACTCTTAATGAGTAGATACTTCGTGTTGACCCCAAAAAGTGTTGCCAATAGATAACGGACCCACCCGCGCACACGTGAGCGAAGGTCCTACACGCTAAGACACGTGGACGGTCTAGAGCGAACAAATCAGGGGCGTGGGAGTAGCTCAACGATGCGGGACGAGAACGTTCGAAATCCGACGGGATGTTCTTTATCCGATTGTACAATAATTACTAATCGGTGCTCATGAGTGTGCATGTAAATATGTATGAACTCATACTGTGTTGTAAGATAATATGAAAGAGAGAGTAAAGTGTGGTTCTTGTATTGATTCTTGCATTAGCCCTTCAATGTTATACAAGAGAAGTATTTATAGTGTTACATGTGAAATGACAGCCCTTAGATGAGTTGGCATGTGGCATCATCTCCTTAATTCAAACATCCAATCCTATGCATCATCCTTGACTTGCTAGCTTGCTGTACATTTATTGCTTGTGCAGAACCCCCATACTAGTGATAAGACTTGACATATGCATTCATGACAAACGTTCCATCAATCATTCAAACAAGATCTTTATGTAGAAGATCTCTTGGGAGAGGTGATCATGGAAAACGTTCCTTCATGGTTCGGGGCTTCTGCAGCTTATGTGGTACTTCCATTTCAGGGCTTCAGAAATCTTCACAGACCTCGGTATATGGAGTTCAGCTGCTTTTAAGGCCTCGGTATAGGGGCCTCGGCATGAAGAGCCTTGGCCATACATGCCACCTCGACTGGAGTGCCACGTGGCTCGAATTGAGTGGGCCATAAGCCCAAGTATGTTGTCCAAGTATGACAACACGTAACACTTCGGTTTGTATTTTTATTCATTATTTTAGGAGAAAACTAAACATTAGTTGACAAATGGTCGAAGTTGGATGAATTTTGGAATTTGGGGATCAAATTGTCATGTTTAACAGTTGAAGGACCTCCCATTGCAATATTGAAGGACTTGGACTGAAAAAGAAATTGAAGAACACCTAACTTTGAGCAAATGAAAAATATTGATAGTTGCAATCGCAATGGTCAACAAGCACAAACAATAACCACCAACCATTTATCATACAATCACACGAGTTTAAAAGGGTGTGTGTAACACCTCGAAATCTTTTTTCGTTGTTGTTGTTATTATTATTATTATTATTATTATTATTATTATTATTATTATTTTTAAATGAAAAATAGTTCGAGATGTTACCAATATCTTCTTTGTCCGATTTAATCAGAAATATCACTTTCATTAAGTGTTGAAGATGCAAAAAAATAGTTAATAAACAATGTGCACAAAATTCAATATGAAGATATTCTTCAAACAAAAGTTTGACAATTATATTTTCTAAAAAAATTTCTTGGCAATCCCATAAGCTTTTACTTGACAACACCATGAGCATCACTCGATCAATCAGCCAAGTGTTCGTACGACCCGTTCTAATCTGAAAGGTTATTATAAGAATGATTATTTTGAAAATACTCAGTAAGAATATGTACACTTTCTTATTCGCATGATATAAATATAAAACTGACATAATATACCAACATTTCTTAGATTTAGAACTCAAGAAATTTCTTAAAAATCTCCGTATCCCGTCGGATTTAATATATTTGACCAAATGGTCCATCCCATAGGATTTAATATAGAGTTCGACCCGAAAGCCTCATAGCATTTTATACCAAAAATGATACAAATATCAATGAATAAAAATTTACCACTTTACATGATGTATTCTTACTTCAGTTGATACCCAAAAAAAGTGATTTGAAATGATAATATGGAAGTGAATAGTGTGTGTGTGTGTTATAATAAAAATGAACTCATAAATTTTATAACACAAAACACTCTCACCTCATACCTTATATATAATCATTCGCACGTAACTTTCAAGAAATTCAAAAGGTTGGTGACATAATTCAAAATCAATAAGGTTACTTATGACTTAATTTTGTTAATTATTTTGGTAATTATGTTAAATATCTTTTCAATTCCTATGTGAAAGTTTGCCTCTTTTTTCTTTGTTTTTTAATTATTTATATTAATAAAATATTAAAGGTTAACACATTTCTTTTTATTAAAATAACTTGGACAGGACTAATTCAAAATTACTTTTTCTTGAGCTCAAATTATATTATTTAATATTAGCTACAAAATAACTATAATATTTAATATATTTCATCAACTTCTAAAATATTAAATATTCGATCCAAATAACTGACGATAAATTCTAAAAACTTGTAAGCAAGGT